AAAGATCCAGAAGTAAGACGAGTTCATCATCTCGCTCATCATAACTAGATCTGAACAAACATTGGATATTGCAAATTTATTTGAGACCTCTTCTTCAGCATCAAGACCAGTGATACCATCCATGGAAGTATCTGCCATTTCCAGACCTACTACTCCTACGCTCCCCTCTTTTTTACCTTTATGTTTACTTAATCAATCATGTTTCATTTATTTATATTTTTTTAATTTAATTCTTTCCCGTTTTCAAAAATGATGAAATTCTTTTCTATAGCAAATTTGATTATTATCCTGATAAACTTTAGATTTGAGATAACAGATCCAAGCATCTTGTAATAAATGTCACTATTAATTATAATGGTAATGATTCTAAAGGAATCAGTTCAGACAAGTAGAATTAGGCTAAATACATTATTTTTCTGGGATGCAAATCAGAAGCTCTTATATTGATGGGCTGGGGTTATATAAATTTTTCTTTAGTGTTTTATTTCATAACATATTGCACTATGTTTCAAGCTTTATTACAGATTTGCATTTGTATATAATAAAAAATCAAAATTAGAGGTTTTTTGAAACCAAATCTTTATCATGTTTTTGTAAAATAAAGTAATCGTAATTACATGTTTAAAAAAATACTAGGCCCGATGTGAACAGATCTAGGGATTGCAAAAGTTTATTTTATTTTTCATTGATATACATTGTGATATGCCGCCCATAGGATATTAAAATAAAATATCGTATGTTGCCACTGACGTGTTGAGTTCGAATAATATCTATGCTTGGTTTAAAAATAAAAATTAGTTACAAAACATTAATAAACCATTAATTAAAAATAATTAATGTGGCACTTTTTACTCATAAGAAAAAGGCTAAAAGAATATGTTAGTTTATTATTAAGGGCGAACTAAAATTTTTATTTTCCAAAAATTGAACTCTCGAATTTCCTATCGAAATCCACTTGTATTTATACATTTTTAAGAAAAATATTTCTAATATTTCTAATATTTCTAATAAAATTTGAAGATCTATTATCATATGACTATCTCGTTACACTAAACTAAACTATAAATATAATTTTATTGGCTAATTATTTAACAATCGGTTAATTATTTATCCTTCGGCTAATTATTTATCCTTATTCTATTTTATTGTATTTTCGGTTATTACATTTATCCTCCTCTTGAAAAATTTATGTCCCATAAATTAAGAATCGAATTCAGGTCTCAAACATATTATATTATTATATATGGTTCAAATATTTCCCTATCAAAATATTCCTTTAATAATTCTCCATTTACTGGTCTTCTTAAAATTCTTCCATTTAATTCTTTAATTTTGTACGATTCATTTATTATTACTTCATGTATATAATATGGTCCCTTCCATTTTTCTTCTAGTTTTCCTGTATGTGTTTTGTATTTCGCCACGTTAAAATATAATACTTTATCTCCTATTTGAAAGTTTTGTTTTCATTTTCCAATTTTGTCATGATATTTCTTTTGTTGTTCTTGTGCTTTTTTAATATTCTTCTTTGCTCTACACGCGAATAAAACCTTTCTTCCTCCATTTAAAATGTTTAAAAGGTTAAGGTGTTGTAAAGATTAAAGTGTTACATCCATTCTAAAACATCCTGATAATTTGTAATTATATATTATTATATATATTAATTTCCATTTCCTATCATTAATTTAATCTTTATATTCTCATATTCATTTAGCCTTCTTCTTCTAATGTTTCATAAAAATATCCTATATTTTCTCTCAATTTATTTGTTTGATTTTCTACCATTATTTTCTCATCTTTTAGGCTTGTTATTCATCTTAAATTTAGCGACTAATTTTATCGATCATTTTCATTAACATTTCTAAAAATAGATCTCTAATTTTAGTAGGTCACTATATTTAGATTCCATTAACCTAATTTGTTATTTTAGCCCCTCAATCTATTATGTTTCACTATTTAAAATATTTTTTTCCTTGTTTCAAAAATAATTCTTCTTACTCCAGAAATTTTCCACATGTCACCATACGTTTTATATTATTATTTCTAATTAATTTTTATTATTATCCAATTATATTTTCTTAATATTGTGCAATTTTTCTTCATAATTTTTCTATCGTAATACTCATGTCTGATCTCTTAATTTTATCATTTATCTCGATAAATTCTTTGTCCTCAAAATAATTTATTTTTACGCGTTTTACGTGTTTTACGCGTATTATCTTCCATTTAAATATCCATAAAATTCTACTTATTCACACTCCTTTT